GAGTGGAATCGAAGGTGTGGTATTACTAGAGTTACTCTCGCGAGTCGTAGTGTGATACTTCGTAGCCTCACGTGCGAGTCGTCGTGATTCAAGTTTCGGTCGGGTGTATGCTAGTTCGTCCCTCCATCAGGTTAATGTGGCAATGCTGAGCAGTTGTATATTCGGCGTACTGGGAGACACGAGGATCCTTTATGATGTGCAGATAGTTATGGAGCAGCTGTTCTTGCCCGCGTTGGACTATAAGTAGTTGGAGTCATACTCGAACCGTCTGTCCATCCATCATAAAATCACATCAGGCCACCGGACGGTTCGAGCCCTGGTCGGAATCGCAAGTCGTTGACAGAATCTCACATAAGTTCGAGGGGTCTGTCGTTGCCGGAGGCAGGGACGGATATGATGAGCGTGATGAGTTCAGGTAGAGGGGCAGGCTTTTGCTGCCGTTGCTGATGTCGTCTTAGTGATGGAAGGGAGCTCCGAGGATGAGGATTCCGATGCGTCGGAGAAGTCGGCGGAGTCGAAGGAGGAGAAGCCCGATGGTCGTGAGAACGGTGGTGACGCGAGGCTGGTCCAGGTTGGATCGGAGACTAGAGACGAGTTGGTTCTCAACGCGAGTAAATTCCATCAAAAGTTGGGCCAAGTGGCTTCGCAAGTGAGTTGATTACGGTGGAGGCGAGTTTGACGAGACGACTCTTGTCAGGTTTACGGTTCCTCGAGCATTCGCCCTCCTGAAGGGGTGGATTTGGATGAGCTGTTGAGGAAGCTTGAAGGGCCGGAAGAGTGTGGAGAGGATGTACATCGATGTGTTGAAGCTGTGGGGCAATGGGTAAGATGACGGTCTTCGATCAATGGTCTTTCCGAAGTACCCACCGGGAAGTGGGTGATCGCCTGTTTACGCGTTACCGAAAACTGAGAATACCGAGAACACAGTTGATTACTGTGTGTTGCTGGCAGTGCAATAATTGTGTCGAATTGCGCGGATGACGTTACGTTGAACTTACTGTGTCGTGATTCCGCTCTGTCGATCTCCAAACGAAAGGGAATCGCCGTGGGACGAATCATCGATGCCGCAGATGGTGTTAAGGAGAGACGTTACGTTTTCAGGCGGAGGAGGTTGAGCGGTTGCTGAAGACAGAGAAGGAACATGCGGCGGCCATTGGGCCTCACCCGATGGCGGAGATCCTCTTTTGGAGGGACCGGAGTGAGAGGCTGTCGAGCTTGTTCGAGCAACTGCAACTTGGACGCTGCCAGAAGGTAGGGACGTTCTTGTGTGGTGGCGGCAGTGCGAGTCGAATACAGGTAATTGAGATTGTGGAGAAATATCTGGTCGCTGGATCCAGAACAGGGGAGATGGAGTCGGCTGGCAGAGCATTCAGATGGTTTAAAGAGGAGCAATCGGCATTGCACAAGTTGCATGTGGAAGCCAAGGACAATGTGCTGACTTAGTGATGCTTTCTGTTGCATGTTATTTGCCCGACTGTTGGTAGGTGAGGTTCCTGATGACTTTGGAGCGGCATCTGAAGAAGTTGACTAATGGTGGTATGGCTGAGATTGCCGAGATGCTGCCGAATTTGATGAATGCTCTCAGGATGGTGTGGGTTGTCAGCAGGTAACTTTGGGGAAGGACTATCGTAGGAGGTCG